CCCGCGGCGAGCGCTTCCTGGCGGTGCTGGGCTGGGCCAGCCTGGCGGTGGGCACGTAAGTGGCCGCGCGCCCCGTGGGGCTGCGGAGGACCAGTCCGCCGAGCCTCGGCTTGGCGCTCTTTCTCTAACTTGGGCGCGGTGGAGGGAAATCGAGTAAAAGCTTTCCCGTACCCAGGGAGACATTGGCAGGCCTGCCTTTGAGGCTCCTAATGCTAACGTGTTTGACGGCTTTGGTTGTCTGTCATTCGGTGGAAAAACGCACTCACAGTGCACATGCCACTGCGACGCATCACGATCCCGCTTCTGCTGATTAAATATCATTGTCCAACAATCAAAAGGGGTGGGGGATCTCTCCAATGCTTCTTGAGGTGCCAGGGGACCATCTGCCTTGAGATGGCCTGAGATCTTTTTTATAAATAGATTTCTGCCCCTACGCACCCCAACACATGCCCTCTATCCTCAGATCTGTTGACAAAGCGTCTCCGTGGGTGGAGTTATGATACCTGAATTTTTAAAGAGTACCTCTCCGACCCACTAAAGCTTTAGGGCCACAGAAAACGTTTAGATGGTTTGGGGTGATAGGAAATTAAGATTCGGCCACCAGAAAAAGGGGACATTTTCGATTATTTTCATTTAAACTTCTGAGATCCTTGCTAGACGTGAATAAAACAACAGCCGAATTATGGGAGGGTGGGCTTCGAGAGTGGGTGTTGGATGCGGATTTGAATTGGAGAGCCGCATGGCACAAGATTAATCGGTCTCACCCCTTATCTGAGGCTGCTTAGGGTTGTGTAAACAGCTGGTGACCCAACTTTTAAGGACTCTGTGTGTGTGTGTCTGTGTGTGTGTGCAAGCGCGCGTACGCGTGCGCCCTCGTTTAAAACAAAACAAAGGGATTAAAACATTCCCAGTGTTATTATCAAATTTTATTAAAATCAGTTAACGGAATTGAACAGAGGTAGGATTCCAGGGCTAGTCGATGGCCATACTCTGTGGAGTCCTGAGGAGCCTGGCCCCTACTGTCTTGCTCTGCTGTGCACGACCCTCCTTCTCCAGTCACTCTGTCATTCAAGATGGCTGCTCCATCCCTCCTTATGGTGTCTACATTCCAGCCAGTAGGAAATAGGACACAATCCTATTGGCTTGAACATAGTCACATGGGCACACCTGGCAAAGAGTCACCTCGGAAATGTAGTTTATTCTGGGCGGTCATGTGTCCAGCAAAAAATTTGGGAATCTAGCACTGTGGGAAATGGGAACAATGATTTCGGGGAACAACTAGCATTCTGATACACATGATTTGACTTTTTGCCCTGCACATGGCTAGGATCACTTTTCCAAAGACAATTTCCAGAAGAAAATATAATTGTTGATGACACCAAAAGATATCAATGACATTTTAAATCATTAGTAAGATTTCTCACAGTGTTACCCTCAAACTTTAGTAACTATTTCTTGATTTTTCTTCAGGGATGGGTTTATAAAAGCGATCAGTCCTGCTGACGTTATCCAAAAACAGTTTTCCGAAGAAAAGTTTGAAGAAAGAATTGACTGTTCTGGGAAATGCATCTTGCCGGATATTAACTTCTTTTCAGTAAAACCCTGAAAGTGGTTCTAGTAAAGAGGAAGAATAGTAGCTTGTTTTAAGTGGAGTCTCACAATGATATTAAAACATGATAATATCTACCATTTATTGAATTTCTACTATTAAATGTCTAGTTGCTTTACAAACATGTTTTCGTATTGAATCCTTATAACTGCCTGAAAGTAAGTATCATCATAAGCATGTTACAGATTTGAACACTGAAGTTTAGAGGTAAAAATTCTTATCCAAGATTGCTAAACAGGTAAAGGGCAAGCTGGGAATCAAACCCACCCACTCATTCCACTTCTTCCCACTCAAATGATGAGGAGAGACCAGCTGTCTGTGTTTAGGTTCAAAAACTGTTGGAAGAATTTTATGAATCCTTTACATAAGGAAAGCAAACAGTGTGAGCTGAATATACTCTAATACCAGAATATGCTCTAAATTAATATTGAGAGTGAAACAAAGAACTCATCGCTAAGTGGAAAAAAGAAAAAAAGTCTAGAGATTTCACTGAAGTTCATCTTTAGTGGTTGACAACAGAATCAGTTTCTCTACCATCATATCCTACATTATCTTTGCTTTATGGCTTCATATAATGATCTGACACAAGTTTCACAAATTTTGCATTCTATGCAAATACAGAGGCTAAGATTTATACTTTTAAAGTGTGTGCTATGTATATCTGACAGCTTTACCTTATGGCTCTTGGGAGTTAGAAGATAAAGTCAGGGTGAAACCTTATGAGAAAGAACAGAATATAATCGAAAGCAGTCTGAAGGGACTTCTGATTTTACTCCATTCAGAACCACTAATGAGCCATTCGATCCATTAGGTGTTTCGAATATTCTGGAAACACACTTTACTGAATTGTACCTGGGTAAACAAAAGTTCCAAGTGATTGCTCTATAGTTTCTCTTCAGTTAAAATATATTTCTTGAAGAAAGATTCAAATTGTTTATTTCATATTTCTCCTTCTCAAGGTTCAGGGAAGGGATTGTATGATTCTGTTTTCACACTCAGATTATTCCTTGGTGGTATAGTCCTTGTATAAATAAATAAATATATATATATATATATTTTTTTTAAGGAATATTTTCATCACATCAAGTCACCCTCCTCCTTTAGAGCCTTCTAGACCAACTATGCAGAAGCCTCTTGTTTCTTCTCTGTCGAGAGAACCATAGAGACAAATTCTTCCTCCTCTATGTCCTGCACTTCCAAATCATGTCCCGTGTTTCCTGCCCCAGTAGACGACACCATTATCTATTGTCAAAATCTCATTTGACTCCTCCCTCCCCTTCACCTACCACATTTCAACCAACCAGCAAGTCCTCTTAATTCTCCTCCTAAATATCCCTAGACCCACTTCTCTTCACCCCACTGTCTAGTTCCAGCCACCGTCAGCTCTCACTTGGACTTATAATTGTTCTTGCCTCCAACTTTGCCTCCAGTTTAATCTGTTCCTTTAATCCATCCCTTGGTGCATGTTATCCTCGTCCTTTGCTTAATACCACTTAAAAGCTTACCATTGCTCATGGAACGAATTCCAAACTCCATACATGCAGGCTCGCCAGGATCCTTGCTTACCTCTCTATCTTCCTCTCTCTTACCTCCCCATTTTTACCTCCCCGACCCTGTCTACCGTGAACCAGCCACAATAAACTACTTTCGGTACACCGACTATCTCATGCCCCTGCACGTGCTGTTTCTCTAATCTGAACACTCCCCCTTGTCTGGCCAACTCTAATTCCCTTCCCTGTTTCCTCTTAGCTACGGCTTCTCTGGGGTCCTTCCCAAACCTCTCTAAGAGTCGGTTATAGCTCCTCGCTGTACTTATCCCACTGTATTACAATTACCTCTATGATTCTTCCTGGACTATAAACCACATCTTATACAGATCTATCCCTAGAGGTTAGCACAGCACCTTTGGGAGGTAAATATTTGTTGAATGTTTGTTAAATGAATGTGAACTGAGTGGTCAACCAGATACTTTTGGTCATAGAGAGCGACTGGTGAATTAAATCAATAGAGGTCATTATCCAGAATGAGCAAATTAAGTTCGGAAAAATGAGGGTGATTCCAAGGTCAGAAAGTAACTCCCTTGTGGGAGCATAGTCTGTCCATAGGCTCCCAGTGTAAGAACCCCAGTGTAAGAACACTCTTAGATTTGAGCCAGCTGCTGTCAAGAGGCCAGCTCTTCCCTGCCCTGGCGGGGGGCACTGCAGCCTCCTTGGGCCATGGTGTAGTGCCAAATATTGTTTATTCTCCTTTCCCTAGAATATGTTCCCTTAACATATCGGCTTTTAGCTCGGGGCGCTCTGTGTGTGTGTACATGTGTGTGCGCACACGTGATGATTTATCAAGCTGAGAAGAAATCCACTTTAACGCATGGTTCCATGATCATCATCATAGCATGGCCTCCCCTTGGTTTTCTTCTATCAACCTAGCCTAAACTTTTCATCTGGAGAGAAATCAAGCTTGAGCAGTATACTCAAATTATACAGATGGTTCCACATTTTAAAAGTTGGTTTCTTAACAAACTTTGGCATTCCAAGTTGCCTTTTTTATTCCGATTTTATGATGCTATAATAGATTTTATTACCAATATTATTCAATGCTTTATTCTGGTCGATAAGAGGAATAAAATGGTTTTTTGTTTGTTTGTTTGTTTGTTTTTTTAGCAAGTGTCTAAAGAGTACCAGGAAGCATTTGTGTTTAAGAATAGTTTTTGAAGCAGCATAATACCTAATTTTCAAGTGAGTTTCTATTACAAACCCTTTATCTATTTTGGGGCTTGTGTTTATGAGAGGTAGCGGCAAGAAATCTTAATAATAGAGCGATGTTTATATTTGCAGGAAAAATAATTTTATTGTGCTGTACTGATGTGTTGTTGCCGTTTGTCAAACTTCTCTCTCTGCTCTGCTTAGCTTGGGGCTGAATGGGGAGCCCAGGCAATCAGTCACCTGGAAGACGTGAGCGATGAAGGCATTGCTGCCATGGTAACAGCCAGATGCTCAGCTCTCCTTCTGCCTACCACTGCCTACATGCTGAGGTGAGGTCATTCTCACCTCCACACAAGAGCTGCAAGTACAGTGAAGACACAGACTTCTAAGATGCCCAACTATTATTTCAAGAAAACTTAGCTCGTGGAAGATGCCATTTCTGGAATGATGTTTATAAAAGAATTATCCTGAGGAAGGAACTTAGACCCAAACTGACTTTGAATAGTGGGCTTATTGGGGAGGTGGCACTTTCTTCCTCTTTTTTCCCTAGTTTTTGGAATTTCCCAATTAAAAACATCAGTATGCATTACTTTTATAATTAGAAAATAATAAAATAGGCTTTATACTTTAAAAAACATGTTTAAGATGTTACGGATATTTAACAGTATTCGGAATCTGCATGAGCTGTTTTCTAAGAGGATGGGAGTAGGTATTATAATTGTGTTCCAGAATCCTCAAAAGTCCTGGGGGTGGGAAGAGAGAGGAAACGAAGTATATTTTGTAAATTCTCCCCAGGAATTTTGCTGTATGCCCTCTATGGATCAAATACACCTAGTCCATCTTTGATAACTGCCATTGCTCTAATTCCACCAAATATGAGACCTGAGGTCTTCTGACTCCATCATACCACTTCCATGACAGCCACTGAGTCCATGGTCAGGGAGGCCAGCATTCAAGAGACAGTTTATTTTCTTAGGACAAAGTGCTTTCCATGTGGTTGGGATACATGGTCTTCAGGCTTGGTCCTGCAGTTATGGCCTTAGGACAGTGCTTACCAACCTTGGGGTGCTCTTGCACCCCTCAGGGGACATTTGTCAATGTCTGGAAACATCTTTGTCACAACTAAGGGGTGCTACTGACATCTAGAGGATAGAAGGCAGGGATGCTGCTAAAACAACCTACGGTAAAGAATTATCCAGCTCAAGAAATGAAATGTGCTAAGGAAGGCTGAGAAACCCTGCTTTAGCGATTGAAAAGCCAAGGCTTTGAGTAATTGTTATAAGGGAGAAGAAAGAAGTGTTTCGGTGCTTTTTTCAAACGCATCATGATTTTATACATAAATTCATATATTTCTATGATTATTACTATTGTCTTAATTTTAAGAGTGGACACAATATAGACGGCAACCAGGAAATATCAATCAACTAATCACTTCACCTTGAGTTTCTGTTTCTTCTTCCAGAAGACAAAGCGGTTAGATATCTTAGGTCTTCTTCCATTCTGAACATCTATTCTGTAAAAGCTCCAATTTCAGAGACTGATGTCTGTTTTTCCTTTTCTTACACTGAAGCAACCTCCAGCCAGGAAGATGTTAGATGAAGGCGTAATAGTTGCTCTAGGCAGCGATTTCAATCCTAATGCCTATTGTTTTTCAGTGGTCATTATTTTTGATGTGCCTTTCTGAGCAGAGTGTCAAACTTCTACCAAGCATCTAAATAGTTGTAAAATATTTCCATTAAAAATATTTTCCTGTGAAACAAGAAAAAGAGGTATAGCTGGTAGTGTAATTGGATAGTTCTGTGCCATATACATGCCTCCAGGCACAGAGAAAGGAGAAAAGGTCCTATTTGCATAATTTGATGATTCAGCCCTGGGTGTTATGGTTTTACTATGAGCCGTTTCACCTCCTGGAGAATAGCACAAGCTCAAAGAAGATTTAGTAAGCGCATGGAGAAAACTTCATTTTATACAGTACGTGGTCTTGAAATGTAAACGAATAGTAAATACGCATGGGGCAATCCCTCTACTAAAGGTATCTTTTCTAAAGCATAAGAACCTTAATGCATAAATTAAAAATTTCCCATGCCAGTTTAGTCATTTTCACCTATACTTTTAACCACCATTATTTATTGTGCTGCGTTGAGAAATGACCTAAGTAGCAGTTACCCTTTTGTTATTTTCCTCCAAGGCTTTTCTCTTCCCACCTTAGCCAATGGTCACGCATCTGGCCTGTGTAAACATGAGCATGTCCATGCCTGAGTTGTTGGCCGCTGCCACCATCAGTGCAGCTGATGCATTGGGACAGTCTCACACACATGGATCTTTGGAAGTTGGTAAACAGGGAGATCTCATTGTCATCAATTCATCCAGGTGAGTGTTCTCTCAACTGAGCTATTTTATTTTATGCCCATTATAGTATGTAGACTGGGTTTAAAATCCTTTTCCACTAATTATTAGTGTCAGCATGTGTGTAGGCTCAGAAGCTATCCGGTGCCCTCTGTCTTCATTGCTTTATAACTATTAAGTCTCCCTATATAAACTACAGGGTAGGCTAAGTTTTCTGGTCTCTTCATTCATCTTACATCCTTTATAGAGCTCCAGGCTTCTACTCTGTTTACTTGAACTTTGGACTTGTGCCTTCTGGCATGGGTTTTTGTTTTTCTGCCTGGCTTCTGACCTCGTGTTCATACTGGGCCACGCCTGTTTCAATTCCAGTTTGTCATCCTGGTTCTAATTCATTATCTCTTTGACTTCTCATCCCTATTGGATCCCAAATTTCTTACTTTGGTTTTCCCGCTCTGATTTCTTAATACTCACACTCTGTCCGCTGCCACCTGGGCCTCCACTATTATAGTCTGAGTCTTACTGTTCTACATCTTGGATCCTGTCACAGTCCTTGGACTTCAGTTAAACAGAAGAGAGGGGCTCTATAATTCTATTCTCTGGTCATAAGTCACTCTCTATTGAAAATAATGCTGATGTTACCATTTGTGCATCATTTAATTGAATTGAATATTTTAAGATCAAATACTTAATATCATTAAACATTATTTGATTTATTATGGACTATTAGTAATATGCCATTTATAAAAAGCCCAATATCAATGACTAGGTGTAAAGAAATTTTTAGAGAATATAGTTTTAAATTTGCCTTTAATGACAGTGATAATTTTGACTCGTCTGCATTGAAGTAATGTTTGATTTCTTTCTAGATGGGAGCCTTCGATTTACCAGTTTGGAGGCCATCACGAATTAATCGAATATGTTATAGCTAAAGGAAAAGTCATCTATAAAAAATTATAGTTCTGAAAAGAAAGGCTCTTCAGTTGTATAAAATAAGTCAATACAGTTACATTAAAAGTTAAAATACCTTAGTAGTTACCAGAATGACGTCACTTCAACCTAAATGTACTTCAGTGTTTTGTTAATCTACTCGTAAAACCCAAGGGATTAATTTTTTTTTAATTTAATAGGCACCTGGATGTGTAAACAGATAAACTAATTGTGATGATAATCTCAGAACATTGAATTATTTCACAAAAATTTGTCACAAATATTCTGAAGATTAATATAATGGAGTGTAACAAAAATGCCTCTGTGGGCAAAAGTGACATGCTTCAGATTAAGCTAAACATAGCCTTCTGTAATAAGCAAATAGCTTTTCCTTTCTCCACAGTTTGTCTTTCTAGATGCTCTTCAAGTGCATTAGTGTCCCCTAAGGGAGGGTAGTCCTTCCATTTCTGAATTCTTCTCAACCCTAGCTCGAAATAGACTTCACAGCAGAGTTCAAGGCTTGTCATTTTATACCTGGATACAGGGCCTTCCTGTAATGGATGCATTTTGACCAAATCCAATAACGTAATTTTTTAAAAACTGTTTTTAAGTTTTTGATTCTTCACGTTACAAATGTATAGCTATTTGCTGTCACTGTTGTTGTTGTTCTCTCACAGCCCTGGAGGTAAATCAGTGGCCTTGTCCGTTAGAGCTTTTTGAAAATAAACAAGTTACACAATTACTTCTAAAGAGTGGATGATTATTTATATGAATGTTTCTAAAGCCGTGTGAGTTTACTTGGAATCTTTTAAAATGCTTTAATCATCTTACAATCACAACTGTATTATCAAACTTGCCCTATTTATTAAGGAATGATTTGGGAAATAAACATTAACTATTGAAATTATCACCCATTTCAGGTTAATAGAGCCTGAATCAATAAATTCAGGATAAATCAAATCAAGATACCCCTTGTTGGAAGGTTAAAGGTAACATTGCACGTCGCTGTCACCACCTACTAGTTTGGGGTCTCTGGAGCTGTCACTCATATGCTTGGTGAAGGAGTCTTGAAGAGTCTTGTGTGGTTGCTGTGGGTGGTGACTTCCTTATGACCAATCATCTAGTCAATGGTGGGAGTTTGGGATGCAGGAAATAGATATAAAGGCCAAAAATAAATATTACGTCTGTCCTGGAACCTAAGCCACACGGACATATATCCCTATGCCTATGGAATAGAAGGTGCATCACATTCTATTTTCCTCGAAGGAGACATTCACTCTAAACAGCGTTCATGTCTTTTGTGAAGGAAAATGGAGGAGGATACCGGCCCGAAATTACCTTAGTCTTCCCAGATCAGTGTCCTGTAAGCCTCTGCTACTCAAGGGAGCTTGCTAGAAATGCAGAACCTCGGGCCCACCCCAGACCTGCTCAATCAGAGTCTGCATCTTAAGAAGCCCCTAGGTGATTCGTGTGCCCGTTAAGCACATCTAAGCAGTGCTGACGTCCAGACCCCAGCTGCATCGTTTCACCCAGTTCCTCAAATACGCCATCTGCTTTTGCTGTTCCGGGCCTTGCACCACTGTTTCCTCTGCCTGGAATGCTTTCTCTCTTCTCTGTGTGTGAAATCAGAGCTAGGCACTCCCCGCTCTCACCGTTCTTCCAAACCTCTACGACACCCTGCACAGCACTGGAATTCAACTGTCTTTCCCTTTAGATTGTGAGTTAATAGAGGGCAGGGACCTCGTCCTGTCCCCAGGATCTAGTATGAGGACAGTTCATAGCAGGTGATGAAGAAATGAATTAATGAATGGCTGCAGAAGCATACAGGTAGTCATAGTGAAAATTACTTCTCAAAATACACTAAGTTGGCCAACCCAGGGATGCAATTGTTCTGTGGATTGGAAAGAGCATATGAATTCCTTAATAGAATGTCAGTGGATGATGCTCATGGCGGGATAAAGCATAAAAGTAAAACCAAACAAAGAAACAGTTTCAAAGATAGGCGGGGGGCGCGGGTTGCCATTCTCAGCTTTGGAGGTAGGAACGATTGTGACGAGAAGGAAAGGCTCCAAGAAGGAACACCATGAAGTGTTCAGAAGATAGGCGATGGTCCTCTTAGAGCAGAGGGTTTACCGAGGAGCGAGGACTGCAGAGCCCGGTCAGGTCAGCTTTCACAGGGCTTTGAGTGTCAGGCTCACTAGTGGGAACTTCATTTTAAAGTCAGGGGAAGCCACTGGATGTTTTCGAACGGTATAGGACCAGCACAGGACTGTTGCTGTAGAAAGATTAGTCTAGTTTTAGAGTACATTGCGGGCACTCATATATTTGTTGTGTGAGTGAATTCTGGCAAGACACCTTAAACAAGCCCTTTGGTGGGGAGAGTAGGAGATGTCAGGTGTTAGTAGTCCAGGAGGAAAGCTTTTGTGGTGGCACAGTGAGGTGTGAGTGCTACCCTATGCTCCACTTTGGGCTAGATCAATGATTCTTTTCTCAACCTTTTAAAATTATCAGGCTACCCTTCCAGGAAAAAATTAAATTTCTTCCTAAGGAATAAGATTTTGTTGGGTAGGACTGAGTTTTGAAAGACCACAAACCATTGTAACATGTAAGGTATTTTTTCTCTCTCCAAAGCCAATTTCATCCCCTTGGGGGCAACACCACTCTTGTTGAGTTGAGGATGCATACACCAGATGTGTGGGTGACAACGCAAGGTAACAGTATGCTAAAAGGAACACAAATTTGGACCTTGACGTCTTGGCTTTGATTCTTCTTGAACTCTTTATGTATCTGTAGAAGTTGGATTCCCTCTATCTCTGAAATTCTAGTTCAAAGCTGGGCCTTGCCTGCGGGGAACTTACAATACAGTTAGGGCAGTAAGACCGACATTCAAGAGTAGAACAAAGACAGGCAGTATTAAGAGCTGGTTCTTTTAAAAGGAACTCCGATGAAACACAGTAATTATTAAACCTCAATTAATTTTGCCAGATTTCCCCACAAAGCATGAGCATCTTGGACTTTATAACGGTAAGCAATAGAAGGATAAAATGAAGCCCAGCCACTTGGAGAGATTTTTTTTTCTGGTGGGAAGTTATTCCAAAATATGAAGGTATATGTTTTCCAACTGGTTTTCCTGCAAGTACTGCAGACTTTGAGAAGCTGGCACCCAGATGGTAGAAACCACCAATGAACCACAGCAATCTGTCCTTGCTCACGCGCACTCGAGATCTCCGAGGTGGTCTGTGCTGGTGGCGTTCCGCTCCCCTTCCTGAACTGTTAGATCGGAGTCTCATGCTCTGGGTGACCTGGCCTCTACTTACTTCCCAAGCTTCCTGTCTTACTGCCACGTGTTGCTATCGTATGGGACACTGCCTAGGTGATAAGCTGTGAGGGCAAAGACCTGGACCATCTTGGACACCACTTGTTTAATGATAGAAATCGACCAAACATAGAATTGATTTCCTGGCATAAATGCCTCTGATGTTGAAATTTAGCTTATATTTCTCCCTTTTCTCTTTTCTGTCTGACTCCCATCACTCAAAGCCCAGCTTAGTCACCTCTTCAGGAAGCCCCTCTGATGATCCAAAGGTGCTATAGTTATTGTGCCTTCCTCCAGGACATGCACTTGGTAAGTAAATGCCATTTCATGTCCCCAGCTAGATGGAAAGTCTCTGAATACTGGACACATGCTGTATTGATGCCCCACAGCTCTGCTGCAGCACCTCACAAATAGTGGCTGCATAAGTAGAATGCTAACAGCTGTAAGTATAAAAACCTGACTAAAATGTTATTGGTTCACGCTTGGAAATTTCACAGGAAGAGCAGGCTTCAGGGCTGGTTTATCCGGCACTTAGCAATGCTGAAGACCCGCATTCCTTCTCTCCCTCTGCTCTGCTATCCAGTGTTGGCGTCACCCCCAGGCCAGAATCCCCCTTGGGTCAGGCTGGCTGTCAACAGGCATTGGTGGTCCATGCCTCCTCACTCAGGTCAAGCCAGAGGGTGAGAAAGGCTGGCTGCTGTGGCTCTCAGGAGAGAAAATGAATTCTGAGAGACGCCAGTAAAACTCTTTTCTGTATCAATGACCCAAGCTGCAACCTCAGCCCTTTCATGAACTCACCACTAAGCAAATCAGGCCCATGCCTTCAGCTGAAATGAAGTTTTGCCAACATTTTTTTTTTTTTTTGGTCTTGTTTTTTGGTATATTGTCAACATTTAAATTTAATAAATACCTTCAACAAAGTGCCCTCCCAAATGCAAAATGATCATGCTATTCATGAAATAATTGTAAGGTTTAATAAAAAGATGATAATCCAGTGACCAGATCTAGAAATGAAACACGTTTAAAATAGTATGAAAAGTATTTTCTTTCAAAATTTTTGAGTTACTTATGGGATTTTATGCGTGTGATAGATTGTCGTATCGTGCCAAATCAATTGCCCATGTTCTTGGTACTACTCTCCCAAGTTGACCTTGACTGGCTTTGGCCAACAGGAAAAACAGAAGGTAGAAAAGCCTCTGTGCTTTGGGGCTTGCCCTCTGGCTGCCCCTAGACAGCAGGTTAAGAAGCCAGGGAAGCCCATTGGAGAGGAATTCTCTCCATGCCTCTAACTCTTTTCCTGCTAGTCGGTGGGAAAGAGAGAGAATGTATACTGAGCCAATCACATTTTCTGAAGACACTTTCTCATGGGTGAATATTCATTGCCTAAATCTTTCGGAAACTTGATTAATCGCAGTTAGAATAGCCTTTCCCTAAAGAGGTGTTCAACTTTGTTATAAAAATTTAAGAATATTGCAACACCATAAGACAACTGAGACTCAACCTATTCTATCCATATTTACCTTGACATTCTCTTGAAGGCATGTGATGTCAGTTACTAAGAGAGCTGTATAAAAAGCTCAGTGACAAGTGCCCCCAGAGGACCACAGGGACCTGTGAGATCCAGCACTCCCCAAACTGGGGTGAAAAGCAGCCATCGGACAGTGGGGTACAGGCTGCACTGCAGCTCATGGGTAAGGATGAACAAGCTTCATTC